GAGCATGGTATGAGCATGGTATGAGCATGGTATGAGCATGGTATGAGCATGGTATGAGAATCGTGGGAAGCGCAAGAAGTGTCAGAAGCGTCTTCAACTTAACTCAAACGACTTTCTCCTCAAATTGGACCTGAACATGACGAAGAGGATTCTGGGACTCTAGGATGAAGATTCTTGGTGAACAAGCATGCACCTCTTTCTTCGTTGGTTTCGGGTAGAAGCAAGAATCAACCAAACTGCCGTCGAATGAATTCGGACACCTGTCCCACTTACTTCCCAATGGGTGTTTCTGTCTTGTGTTTTGTCCGGTCTCTGGGATGGGGCGGAACTTGCGGATGGGACGAACTCTTGAAAACCTCGAGCCTCCCTCCAAAAACACCCGCTGCCCTCCCTCCAAGCGCAAAAAGGCGCCCAAGCAACTCCTCCACTTCCCGAAAAAGGCGCCATTGGCCGCCCTTTTTGGGCACCACTCCAAGATGCTGTGAGGCCTGTCAGGCAGCCACCAGCAAGAGCATGCCGTTCCTGCCTTTTGGGCCGCAGTGGATCCCCCTAATGCTGGTTTGGGCAATGAAGCACATGGCCTGGGTCGCCAAATCAATAAGACTCCGAGTAGAGAATGGAACATGTCCATGAGTCAAACCATTTTCTGTGTTCCCCATTTGAACATCCCCCAATCCCCCCCCAGAGATTTCTCTGGCTTCAGGAGTGGTCCCGACAGAACCGTGTGTTTTTCTTTCCTCGTTTCTCCTCGACCTCGACCGGTCCGAGGCCAAAGCCTCAGAACCTGGGCGGCCTGGTCGGTGGCGAGGCGGAGTTCGACCCTCTGGGCTTCTCCGACACCTTCGACGCGCCTGGGACGTTGACCGAACCGACACCGGTCGGAGGTGGGACGTGGAGGTCTCATGTGGGGCGGGCACTCCTGATCATTGACGACGCCTTAAGACATCGCTGAATCTCTCGGCTCCTGCATCCTGTTCTTGTTTCTTTCTAGTTTTTTGTGAAGGATGCTTGGCTGCCAAAGTTTCTTTTCCTTGTATTTGACCATGAACTTGATCCTGAGAAGCTTGCCTTCAAGGTCTTGAGCATATTTCGCCAGCTGACCAATCTGGCCACCCGGAATCCACCGTCCGGGAATCCGCTTATTCATGTGTCTTTCCATCTTTTCCTACGACCATCTCCGAGGTGAAGTGGCTCCGCGAGAGCGAGTTGAAGCACGGGCGCGTTTGCATGTTGGTGACTTGGGCCGCGTGGAACGGCCCGCGACGCGCGGGTTCACTCACGACGCTTCCTCCGCGACGCGGTCCGCGACGCGGTTTGGAACCCCTCGCGTTCCCTCGTCGAAGCCACGAGAAGCGCCCAGCCAACGGAGTGGAACAGTTTTGGGAGCAGTCGGAGTCTTTGGGTGCAGCGTTGCTCCAAAGTGGTCCGGGCTAGATCGGATAGATGTCTCACATTCTTGCGGGACATGACGAAGTGATCAGCTTCAAGCAATTGGTTGATGTCCTTTACCACATACCATAGGTTTTGGACCATGGTTCTATACTTTTGAGAGGTACGTTTAGAGAAGTGACCTGATGATGTTGCAGATGGCCAAACGGCTCCTGATTTTCGTAGGACTTCTAGAACATCCCAACTTGCACATATCAATATATATATAAAGATATATAAAGATCAAACTAAGTATTGAGACAGATACAGTACCTTTGTAGAATTCCACACAACTTTTCTCTCATTGGTCATAACTGCTGGTCGTTATTCAAAAACATAACCATCATTTTCAACATGGTTTTGCGTTACACCTTAATGCTCGATCGTGCTCATGAAGTTGCACATTATCTTAGTCTCGTGAAAGTTTGAGGTCATTTTCACTTCCGATCACCTTACAATGGCAAGCTCAAAATGTGTGAATTTCATTGGATTTCAAGATTAGCTTTCGGTGAGGGTTGGTGGCCTAACTATATAAGCGGAGGAAAACCATTTGCGTTGCGAAGAGGGTAGCTCAGAGTGTCAGTGGGATGATACCTTTCCTCCAACAAGCATCAAAGTGAAAAGCACCCTGTTTGTAGAGTTGCGAAGGGAACGTCGCTTTTCGAGGAACCCTGGTCAACTTCCAAGATTGTCGGATGATAGACCTGGTGTTAGCTTACTCAAGGATCAGGAGTTCGCCTGACCTGCTTGGGTGCACCAGTCGCAAGGCGACGATTGGCTTCGTCGCCGAGCAGTATTGGAACTTCCCAGGCGGCCATACATGCGAACCAAATGCGAACCAAGAGGGAATCTATTGAACAAACTATGAATTTTGGGAATTCATGTCAATTTCTGCTAGACGAACTGTGTTGGAGTCCTAGTGTCCATGTGACAGCGAAGAAATCACCATGGACTAGTATGAGGCATATCCCGTCTTGTCCTTTCTTTGTCCTTGACTTCTACTTGATTTTCGTGGCCGCGATGGATCTTTAACTTGATGACCAGAAACCTGCGGAAAGCGACCCAAGAGAGCAGGTTTAGTTGGCCATTGTGCAAAGTACACATGCGCTCGAACCCATGTCTCTCACACCACAAAAGACAAGCAAAACTAAAGACTGGTTTGGAGAAACTCACACAACCCCACCTATTGCTTATGCTGGCTGGAGGAAATCCACGCACACAGCTGAAAATCAAGATCTAGTGAGAGCCCTCAACACATACAGCAGCCGAATCTTGGATGGTTTGTTTCACAGCGCACTTGACTGCTCAGTGGCGTGTTGCACCTTTGTCTTTTTTTCCGCTTGCAGGCTGCCCTGAGACGCCAGATGCCTTGCAGGCGCCGCCAGCATATGAGACAGGCATGCAAGCTATTTTTTCTCCTGCCATTTTCCAATATATTGACCGAAAGGGATGCGTTGCGACGTATTTCCACGTTGATATCTATTATATATATAGATTCACACACTCAACTGCTTGTCTTCTTGTGAAAGTACTTACTAACTGCTGAAGTAAGCCTGAACCCCACGTAGTGTGAGGCGTTTTCCACATCAATCAGGCCAACACTTTTTGCAACCCCAAAGATGAATGCGTGGGTACACTGACTTGGAAACCAAATTGGATGAATCTCCAACGACTTTTGGGTGGTCCAGGAGAAGACTGTTATTGTACCATGTTTTTCCTCTTTTCTTGAGGTTTAGGCTTTCTTGGGACGGTGTCCAGTTCCTTGTGTACATGCAGATTCTGTCTCCCTGAATGGAGTTTTGGTTTGTTGCTCCATGCCACCAATGCGAGATGCAAGAAAGCCATTTCTCTTTCTTGGAACACCGTGACGGTACCCCCAGTGACTCTCCGCTGCTACCGACGAAGCTGTCGATGGACCTCTCCTGATAAAGGATGATAAGAGCTCCCCTGTGCCATCCCACGGCCGCCATGTTTTCATCACCGCCGTCTTCGTGGTGAACGAACACACATGAATACATCTACGAAAAGAAACGACACACAATATATACATGTACAATATATATATAATATCAACTGGGCCTGGGCTCCCATGTGAGTGAAGATATCTAAAGCTTTTCTGCAACACAATTGGGTCAGCAGTCGTTGGGCCTCCCAACCGCTTGAAGGCCATCTACACTGCGCCACCCAACCTCACAGCGTTGCTGATCTTCATCGCCGGATACATCGAGAGCTCCTCCTACGATGGCAAGTGGCTAGGCTTGTGGAGAGTGGTGTGAGTCTGATGTGAACAGGAAAAAGTCTGCGCGGGGTTCGATCCAGGATTCATGACTCGTGCCGGTATTCCATTTACATTCTTCCAGGTTGCTTGTTCTCCATCAAAACCTCAGTACGTGACTGCTGGAGCTTGATTTGTTTCGATTGCCTCGGTTGGACTTCATACCTGTCCGGTAGCCGTTGCCTTTCTCCTTGGATTGGTTGAGTGGTACCCACTATCTTGGAGGTTGCTCCTGAGGCTGACAATGCTGGACATGTTCGAGGGCGAGGGCGCAAAGAGGGCACCGGGTGATTTGCCACTTGGAGAAAGAGGACATGCAAGATGAAAGTGGTTGGAATTGGCCACACCTTGACACGGAAAGTTGGGGCTTGATTAGACCTTTAATGACCTTTAAGACCCCACAGATTTCCATTCTGATTCCTATCATTTCCATGGTTCCGCCAAGGGTGGAGGTCTGCCAAGAAGGAGGTAGTGGCTCGGGGTGTTCAGATTTCAGCATGAGGGCCCAAGGGGCACATCTGAAGGACGTTCGGGTTTCATGAACTCGGCAGGGTTTGGATTTGGTTGAAGGCCTGGAGCACACGTGCTTTGGTTGAAGGCCTGGAGCAGTGTGTCCCACGCCATCAAAAAGGAACTCTCCAATGTTCGGATTGGAAGTGCATCAACCTTCCAGTGACTGTTCCATCCCAAGCACCTCACCTTGGCAAGCACGCTGCTTCCACCAGCGGTTCCGAGGTGGTTCCACCCCCCTCCGATGGACCAGCCCGAGGAACTTCGGGAAGCGCTTCTTGCCTGGGGACAAGGAAAAGGCTGACGAGCTGGCCACCAAGGCACGAAGTCGACAGGGTGGCTTGGGATGCGGCTTGGGATGAGACTGGTGAATCTGTGATCCGGGGAGTTGGTCATGATATACGGAGAACGCTGAACAATGCTGGTGTCTTTTGGTGGGAACAGAAGGGTTCAGGTGTGGATGGGTTTGGCCAAACATTGGAAGATACGGATCTACCAGCTTCAGGATCCCTTTCTCGCGTGTCTTTGTATGAATTTGGGATCGTGTGGGGTTAGGCACATACGAGTCTCATCGAGTCTCACAGCTTTTTCCATTCAAACGTGTGGATCCATAGGGACCACAAACGCACCCGGTCGCACCATGCTGTTGGCTCTTGCGCTACGTATCGTCCGGTCTTCTCAGCCGCACCTGCTCGGACGGGGGGCACCACTGGGCCCAGCTCGGAGGCCCGATCCGGCAGATCCGGTCTGATCACGTTACGACGGACATGAGAAGAGGTGAAAACGGACATGAGAAAGCAAAGGAAAGCCACGTGGTTTTGTTGCTATGGTGGTGCCAGGACAGCTAAGGCCGGGTTTATTGTGGTTATTGTTCCAGGAAAGCGAAGGTGGATAGATGGAAGTCTTGGAGGTTGACACAAACATCACCCACATACCGCTTAAACATGGCCGAGACACCACAGAAACACGAGATTGAGATACCACGAACCAAAAATCCAAAACATCACAAAGAACACAAGACAACACAAAAAATGTACTAGACAACACAAGACAACACAAGACAACACAAGACAACACAAGACAACACAAAACACCAACCAAGAAATGCTGTACTTTGCCGAGTCCAGATAGCCGCAGCCAGAAGTAGAAGCAGGCCGTGCCTTTGGCGTTCGGTTCGGCGATGAGGCTTTCAGCACAGGTCAATGGCCAGATCGTTGGCTTTGACGTTTCACCAGAGACGACGGGTCGAGAGCTGAAACAGCAGATCAAAGAGGGTCAGCCGAGCTGGGACGAATGGACTCGCCGCACGACCAGGGTGGAGATTATGGTCGGTGACCGGCTCATGGGCAATCATCAGAAGGTTGTGGACGATGTGGAGGATGTGGACGATGTTCTGGTGAAAGTTTCTTTCAAGCCAAACATTGTGAGATGCTCCAGGAGAGTTGCAATAAACCGGACTCAGAGTGAAATTGACTTGGAGGATTGGCTGGTCATTGAAATCCCTGATGGTGAGACCGAAATTCCTCACAGTGCATTTCGAGACTGCAAAAACATGGCGGAATTGAGAATCCCAGGCTCAGTGACCACCATTAGTGCCAGAGCCTTTGAGAATTGCAACTCTTTAGTGAACTTGACCATACCAGACTCAGTGACCCAAATTCGGTCTAAGGCCTTTGTCAATTGTAGTTCTTTGAAGGACTTGACCCTCCCAAGAAAAGTGACGCACCTTGGGGATTTCGCTTTTGCACACTGTAGCTCTTTTGCGACCTTGAGTATCCCGAGCTCGATGACTCGCATCGTGGAAGGTGTCTTTGCAAGTTGTACGTCTTTGGTGAACTTGACCATCCCAAACTCTGTGACATTCATCGGATCGTATGCATTTGAGAATTGCACCTCTTTGGTTGACGTGACCATCCCGGACTCGGTGACGGCCATAGGGAAGCATGCCTTTGCAGGTTGCTGCTCGTTGGTGCACTTCAAACTCCCAGGTTGTTTGACCACCCTGAACGACCATACCTTTTTCGGATGCAGCTCCTTGGTGAGCGTGATCATCCCCTATTCTGTGACTTCCATCGGGAGTAGTGTGTTTTCTGGTTGCAGCTCGTTGCTGAACCTCACCATCCCGGATACCGTGGGTCGTGCTGGGCCCCATGCATTTAAGAATTGCGCATCCTTGGTGAACATGACCATCTCAAATTCAGAGACCATCATCAGGTTGTTCGCCTTTTCGGGTTGCAGATCTTTGGTGAGATTGACCATTCCACCCCTGGTGACCCGACTTGACACTGGCGCCTTTCAAAATTGCAGCTCTTTGGTGATCTTGACCATTCCAAGATCAGTGACTCGCATTGGTCACAAAGCCTTTCAACATTGCACCTCGTTGGTGAAATTGATCATTCCAGACTCCGTGACGTTCATTGGTGACAATGCCTTTGAGGGTTGCAGGGCTTTGGTGAGCTTGACCATCCCAGACTCTGTGACCCACATCGGTGACAATGCCTTTCAAGAATGCAGCTCTTTGGTGAACTTGACCATCCCAGACTCTGTGACCCACATTGGTGAGAATGCCTTTCCACCACCTTCCACAAGTTCCAGTTCGGTGAGCAGGCTGCCCAAGTCTCCAATGGACTTCCTTTGAGTACAGCCGCAAATGCTGCACGAGCAAGTGCCACAAACAGCACCAGCACATATGCCCGACCAGCCGCGGCGGTTGGTTTTGGATCGTAGGGCCACTTTGGCCAGCAACCCTTCGTAGTGCAACGCATACAACCAATTTGTCCAGCTTTGACCTTCAAAAATTGCAAGCATGCATTGGATAGCTCGCAGCTTGTGCAGAAGTACAAAATGAAGATGCTTCTTGCTTTGGGCAGCTGGCAGTTTTTTTGTTCTTCCCACCCTTGGTTCGGTGGCCATGTCAGGGGAAAGGATCACTGATTAATTTTTTATGTTCGCAACAGACAAGCAGTTTTTCGCTTGTCACTCGGACGCCTCAATACGTCAGATTGCTGTAATGAATGAATGTATTAGTACACGATGCCGCCGTGAGTAGTGCAACTCCCAAAAGATTATATCATTTGGATTGAGCCTTCCCTAGCCGGAGTGATCATATACCCTCGTGGTGGCCCGACTCCTAGAGGCCGACAGGTCCACGGGACGTCACTTCTCACACAGGATCAAAGCTGTGCGTCCGGAACCATTCACCATGCTGGTGCCTTGTTGGACGCGACAGGAGCTCAACAACGGTCGCTTGGCCATGCTGGCCTTCGCAGGCGGAAAGCGCGGGAGAGCGCGGTTCAAGCGCTGAGATTCTCACTTTGTTGGCGTGTCTTTCTCCTGGGTGTTCCCATGACGCCATGGAGACCAAGGTGAACCCCCATGTTTGAGAAGCAACCAAGGTGGGATCTCTCTCCATGTATATCTATGCACATGTATACTAGATGAAAAAGCTGCTAGGTTTCGAAGGCTCCCACGAAAGTACACGAGGGACTAGTCACGGAGTCCCCGGTTTGAGACCTTCACAGGGTGCACGGAGTGGCGAGAAAAGGCAGACCTTCCTTATCACCGCTCCATGGAGACTGTGTCCACCTGGCAGGAATGATTCACCACAACCTGGTGGTGAAGGGTCCGCTCTTCCCTCTCTTCCCCGAGGGCTGGCAGGGACCGCAGGCACCGCAGAAGGGGTCGGTCTGTTGATGCTCGGTGGTGGGGGGACAGTGAGTAGGAAGCCATGAGGAACTGGGACTGGACTGCACTATCGTACATGATATACGTGAGTATGCCAAGAATGTGGCCTGAAAAGCCCAGAACTGCTCGGATCACAAGCGTGGTGTCCAAGCATGTCATGGCAAAGAAACCAGGGACGGAGTTCTCGAGGTTCAGCTCCACAGATTGGCGTCCTGGTTTCTTTTTATTTGGAAGGTAGACATGCTACGAGTAGTTTCCTGGAATCAGTCCGAGCTATACTCGCTCTTTTTTCATCAAATGTCCAGTTAACAAGGCAAATCGTAGCAGTGGCATTTTCAAGATGTTCTCTCCACCAACTTGTGCAGTAGCACTCGCATGTACACGCGGAAAACGCATCGGTTGCACACGCGGTTACACGCAGACCCTCTTGTACAAGCGCATTTTGGAAGCCTTAGAAGCCTTAATAATGGCTGCGCTGGCACATCACACCACTCCCAGTTCTCCAAGGATGTTGTGTCTTCAGGATCTTCAAGTGCACTCTCTGCTTCTGTGCTCAGGGTCAAATTTGGTGGAGGGAAGAGTCCTTCCAAGGTAGCATACCTTTTGTGAGCCACCCGAGGGTAGAGTTTAGAGGAGGAAGGAGCCATTCCACATATATAGCATGCCTGGCTTTTGCGAGCTGCCCGAGGGTAAAGTTTAAGGGAGGAAGGAGCTATTCCAACGTAGCATGCAGCATGCCTTTTGTGAGCCACTCGAGTGTAAAAGCTTGAGGAAAGCATTATTTCAACCTAACATACCTGTTGTGGGCCATCTGAGGGTACAGTTTAGAGGCAGGCACCATTCCAACACAGCACACCTCTAGTGAGCCACGCAAGGGTAACTAGTACAGGAGGAAGTCACAAATTTTGATGTAGCAAAACCTCCATCCAACAAATATGGCAGCGGAATATGGCCCCTTGGAAGACCGTTTTCCTCTACGAACAGGCTATATTCCACTTCCATGATTGTTTCAGGGAGGGTACCTTTGGTGGGCCAACCGAGGACAAATTTTGGAGCAGGAAGGAACCATTCAAAGCCGCCGCGAGGAGCCACGAAAAACCTGAGGTCCCCCCCCGGCCTGTGCGTTTGTCGCTGTGCGTTTGTCGCTGTGTGAGTCACTGCATGCGCAAGTGAGTTTTGAGACGTCAAGGGTGCAAACATCATTAGATCTTCTGGGTCGGTGCCGAACTCGCGTGCAGTCGATTGGATTTGGTGTGTGTATGTGAGTGGGGTGCCAAGATTTTTCCAGAAGAATCCTTCTTCGCCAGGGCTCCTGGGATTTGGACAGCACGGCGGGCGCGCTGTGCTTTGACCCAGACGGGTGATGGGGTGGGCGGGTCGGTGGGTTGGTGGCCGGTAACGGTTGAGCGAGATGGTTTGCATCTAAAGACGCTTGGCATACTTCCACGTCTACGTCTGGACCTGAAAACCACGGGGTTATAGAGAAAAATAGCCTTCCAAAGGTCCATGTTCAGGTTTCATATGGGTCTCTTCCCGGGTGTACAAATCCCTCTTACCATGCGCTCACACCTTTGAACATCGCATAGTAGTGGTAGGATCCCACCAAAGCGGGAGGCTTCTCCGAGGGCACGGTGTGCTCCGACCTAGCATGGCTGCCTTTTTGTAGGTGAATAAGCTCAACCCTACCCAACAAGAGCTCTGGCACCAGATCTGATCTGACGAGCGCTTGCCACACCGCTGGCCGGGTGTGGGGCAGCAGAACACGGAGACCTCTTTGCCAGTTCGGAAGAGCCCGCGGGCCAAACTGAATTTGCAAAGGTCAGTGCGCTTGAGGCCAACCCACTTGGTGCCAAGTGGATGATAGTGAAACGACGGGCTATATGCTCACTGGGCGCTCGAAAGGATGGGCTGACAGCCCAACTCGTTTTCGTGCATACAGGGAAGGCCATCCTATGAAGGCATCATTCATGATGCAACAACGAGCATAGCTTATACATGCTTATACAAGATCTTACAAGATAGAGTGGGATCACTCAACCAACCATTCGTACCGCAGGTCGCGGGACGTCACTTGAAGTTGTGTTCCTCCATGTGAATCTTCCAGGGTGTAGGTGTAAGTGTAAGTGCTTTTGTTGGAACGGCCGGCACCTTGGTTTCCAGCTGAGCTCTGAACCCCCAAAACAGTAACAACTACTTCTCATCCAAGAACAATCAACAACCACTCAATCAACAACCACTTTGCAAGGCTCTCTTGACTCATGGAGGTGGTGCCCCTACTCAGAGTCTTCTGGGCTTCAAACGGTCTTCGACTCATGCGTTTGGGCCCAGGAACAGCGGTAGTCTGGGATTGTGAGCAGAGGTTCAACGTGTCACCAAGGACCGCCATGGACGGGCGGGTGGAGCCATGTGTGGCCATTCACCGGCGGATTGAGTAGGATTGGCTGGTTCCGGGTTCCCTGCACATTATGGGAGTCTCCCTTTCAGTTGCTCTGTTTCACGTCTTGATCCAGATTGAGCCAAGTTCATGCACCTGCTCATGTGACCGGAGTGCAACATGCGAGCTGTCCTTTGTGCCGAGTTTCTCTCTCTCTCTCTCTCTCTCGCTCGCTCGCTGTCAATGCCAGGGCGGCTCTTTTTGATGCCCTACTTCGAGGCTCGATCAACAGATCCTTCACAGGGTTCCTACTATATATCGGAGTGGTGGATGGAGTCTGCAGCTGTCGGAGTGGTGCCCTTTTTCATTCCCATGTGATCCCCCGAATCAGGCCCCCTTTTACAGAGAAAGACTATAGATTTCAATTTCGTATATATATATATTACATATATATATATATATAGGTGAGCAGGGTGCTTTTGCGAGCGAATTTGCTGTTCCAGCCCAGAGTCATTTCCATCCATTTCTGGGGGCGCGCGTCCCAAACTTTCGCATGAGACCTTCTGCACAATGTGATCTGGTGGCATAGTCCTGCAGTTTACGGCCTGAAAAGCATCTGACATAGAAGATATGCTATGGGATAGGCCACCCCTGACATAGGAAGGTGTTTCCTTCAAGAGTACTATCCCTTCTTGACTGACTAATCGCAAACCGGCCTCCCTGGAGGTCTACGACTTGAAGCCAAAGCCGGGCAGAAAAATACTTTTTTTGCAGTGCCGAGCGACGTGTTTTCAGCGCGACCGCTGGCGGGAGGGGTGACGTGACGAGGTTCACCGTGTGGGACTTCTGTTGAGATCTTTAGAGAAAGATGTCTCTCTTGGACGTGATTGCATGATATTGCATGTACCCCCGACACAAATTGAAAGTGATCTTCGTGACTGCGGGTGCTGTCAGCATCATCATCAGGTTTTTGAAGGTCTTCCAGGGCAATGGGCCAGCAAAAGGGAGCTGACGATTGTTCCGCTGGAAAACTACAACACTGATTTTGAGCTGTTGCCCTCGACGATGAAACAGACCGGTGATGGTGACATGTTGTGAAAATTAGTAAGTCCCGAGTTTTCTCTCTGGGACAACCAAAGCTTCTATCTGAATCTATCTGAACATACCATTCTCAACACGGTGTCATCACACTTGAAGAAGGCTTCCTTACCTATATAAATAGGTTTTCACTGAAATGATGACACGAGGAGATACACGCGGCCTGACCGTGTCATATCCGCCTGTCAGGTCGAGGAGATCACACCCAGCGGGTCCTCGAGTGAAGTCCGTTCTTTCTTCGAAAAGAAGGGCGGGATAGGCCAATCCCGGGTCTTCCGTCTCCAAACGAAGTGACTGGTTTTCAGCTTTCTGGTTTTGACATGTTTTGACCTGACGACGTCGTGTTGGGGTTTGGATTTCTCCGCGAAGGTTTGCCGCTGCAGCCTTGGGCTCGGGGAACCCACTCTTAGAGGTGCCAATTGTGTCGTTACACTACCATGGCATCCAGGCACGGGAGCCTGGCGTGGTGTCACACAGTT